GGTTTGAATCCCACACTTGTCATTCTTTGATTTACAATCACTCATACTCTCTTTTTTCATGATACTTTCAACATAAATCTTTCACGAACATTTGACCAATTGAAAACTAATATAGTAGACAAGTTAGACCACTTTTTGATTTACAATCACTCATACTCTCTTTTTTCACGATACTTTCAACATAAATCTTTCACGAACATTTGACCAATTGAAAACTAATATAGTAGACAAGTTAGACGACTTTTTGATTTACAATCACTCATACTCTCTTTTTTCATGATACTTTCAACATAAATCTTTCACGAACATTTGACCAATTGAAAACTAATATAGTAGACAAGTTAGACCACTTTTTGATTTACAATCACTCATACTCTCTTTTTTCATGTACTTTCAACATAAATCTTTCACGAACATTTGACCAATTGAAAACTAATATAGTAGATAAGTTGGCCGAGTGGTCTAAGGCGTTGCGTTAAGGCCGCAGTCCGAAAGGGCGTGGGTTCGAATCCCACACTTGTTATTCTTTGACTCATACTCTCTTTTTTCATGATACTTTCAACATAAATCTTTCACGAACATTTGACCAATTGAAAACTAATATAGTAGACAAGTTGGCCATGTGGTCTAAGGGGCTGCGCTAAGACCGCAGTCCGAAAGGGTGTGCGTTTGAATCTCATACTTGTCATTCCATACTCTTCTTTTTCGTGATACTTTCAATATAAATCTTTCACAGAACTAGTATTGATTTGACCAATGAGTATTAATAGTAGACAAGTTGGCCGAGTGGTCTAAGGCGCTGCGTTAAGGCCGAAGTCCGAAAGGGCGTGGGTTTGAATCCCACACTTGTCATTCTTTGATTTACAATCACTCATACTCTCTTTTTTCGTGATACTTTCAACATAAATCTTTCACGAACATTTGACCAATTGAAAACTAATATAGTAGACAAGTTGGCCAAGTGGTCTAAGGGGCTGCGCTAAGACCGCAGTCCGAAAGGGTGTGCGTTTGAATCTCATACTTGTCCATACTCTTCTTTTTCGTGATACTTTCAACATAAATCTTTCACGAACATTTGACCAATTGAAAACTAATATAGTAGACAAGTTGGCCATGTGGTCTAAGGGGCTGCGCTAAGACCGCAGTCCGAAAGGGTGTGCGTTTGAATCTCATACTTGTCATTCCATACTCTTCTTTTTCGTGATACTTTCAATATAAATCTTTCACAGAACTAGTATTGATTTGACCAATGAGTATTAATAGTAGATAAGTTGGCCGAGTGGTCTAAGGCGCTGCGTTTAGGCCGCAGTCCGAAAGGGCGTGGGTTTGAATCCCACATTTGTCATTCTTTGATTTACAATCACTCATACTCTCTTTTTTCATGATACTTTCAACATAAATCTTTCACGAACATTTGACCAATTGAAAACTAATATAGTAGACAAGTTAGACCACTTTTTGATTTACAATCACTCATACTCTCTTTTTTCACGATACTTTCAACATAAATCTTTCACGAACATTTGACCAATTGAAAACTAATATAGTAGACAAGTTAGACCACTTTTTGATTTACAATCACTCATACTCTCTTTTTTCATGATACTTTCAACATAAATCTTTCACGAACATTTGACCAATTGAAAACTAATATAGTAGACAAGTTAGACCACTTTTTGATTTACAATCACTCATACTCTCTTTTTTCATGTACTTTCAACATAAATCTTTCACGAACATTTGACCAATTGAAAACTAATATAGTAGATAAGTTGGCCGAGTGGTCTAAGGCGTTGCGTTAAGGCCGCAGTCCGAAAGGGCGTGGGTTCGAATCCCACACTTGTTATTCTTTGATTTACAATCACTCATACTCTCTTTTTTCATGATACTTTCAACATAAATCTTTCACGAACATTTGACCAATTGAAAACTAATATAGTAGACAAGTTAGACCACTTTTTGATTTACAATCACTCATACTCTCTTTTTTCATGATACTTTCAACATAAATCTTTCACGAACATTTGACCAATTGAAAACTAATATAGTAGACAAGTTAGACCACTTTTTGATTTACAATCACTCATACTCTCTTTTTTCACGATACTTTCAACATAAATCTTTCACGAACATTTGACCAATTGAAAACTAATATAGTAGACAAGTTAGACCACTTTTTGATTTACAATCACTCATACTCTCTTTTTTCATGATACTTTCAACATAAATCTTTCACGAACATTTGACCAATTGAAAACTAATATAGTAGACAAGTTAGACCACTTTTTGATTTACAATCACTCATACTCTCTTTTTTCATGATACTTTCAACATAAATCTTTCACGAACATTTGACCAATTGAAAACTAATATAGTAGACTTAGACCACTTTTTGATTTACAATCACTCATACTCTCTTTTTTCATGATACTTTCAACATAAATCTTTCACGAACATTTGACCAATTGAAAACTAATATAGTAGACAAGTTAGACCACTTTTTGATTTACAATCACTCATACTCTCTTTTTTCATGTACTTTCAACATAAATCTTTCACGAACATTTGACCAATTGAAAACTAATATAGTAGATAAGTTGGCCGAGTGGTCTAAGGCGTTGCGTTAAGGCCGCAGTCCGAAAGGGCGTGGGTTCGAATCCCACACTTGTTATTCTTTGACTCATACTCTCTTTTTTCATGATACTTTCAACATAAATCTTTCACGAACATTTGACCAATTGAAAACTAATATAGTAGACAAGTTAGACCACTTTTTGATTTACAATCACTCATACTCTCTTTTTTCATGATACTTTCAACATAAATCTTTCACGAACATTTGACCAATTGAAAACTAATATAGACAAGTTGGCCAAGTGGTCTAAGGGGCTGCGCTAAGACCGCAGTCCGAAAGGGGCGTGCGTTTGAATCCCATACTTGTCATTCTTTGATTTACAATTACTCATACTCTTCTTTTTCGTGATACTTTCAATATAAATCTTTCACAGAACTAGTATTAATTTGACCAATGAGTATTAATAGTAGACAAGTTGGCCGAGTGGTCTAAGGCGCTGCGTTAAGGCCGCAGTCCGAAAGGGCGTGGGTTCGAATCCCACACTTGTCATTCTTTGATTCACAATCACTCATACTCTCTTTTTTCATGATACTTTCAACATAAATCTTTCACGAACATTTGACCAATTGAAAAGTAATATAGTAGATAAGTTAGACCACTTTTTGATTTACAATCACTCATACTCTCTTTTTTCATGATACTTTCAACATAAATCTTTCACGAACATTTGACCAATTGAAAACTAATATAGTAGACAAGTTGGCCAAGTGGTCTAAGGGGCTGCGCTAAGACCGCAGTCCGAAAGGGCGTGCGTTTGAATCCCATACTTGTTATTCTTTGATTTACAATCACTCATACTCTTCTTTTTCGTGATACTTTCAATATAAATCTTTCACAGAACTAGTATTAATTTGACCAATGAGTATTAATAGTAGACAAGTTGGCCGAGTGGTCTAAGGCGCTGCGTTAAGGCCGCAGTCCGAAAGGGCGTGGGTTCGAATCCCACACTTGTCATTCTTTGATTCACAATCACTCATACTCTCTTTTTTCATGATACTTTCAACATAAATCTTTCACGAACATTTGACCAATTGAAAACTAATATAGTAGACAAGTTAGACCACTTTTTGATTTACAATCACTCATACTCTCTTTTTTCATGATACTTTCAACATAAATCTTTCACGAACATTTGACCAATTGAAAACTAATATAGTAGACAAGTTGGCCAAGTGGTCTAAGGGGCTGCGCTAAGACCGCAGTCCGAAAGGGCGTGCGTTTGAATCCCATACTTGTCATTCTTTGATTTACAATCACTCATACTCTTCTTTTTCGTGATACTTTCAATATAAATCTTTCACAGAACTAGTATTGATTTGACTAATGAGTATTAATAGTAGGCAAGTTGGCCGAGTGGTCTAAGGCGTTGCGTTAAGGCCGCAGTCCGAAAGGGCGTGGGTTCGAATCCCACACTTGTCATTCTTTGATTTACAATCACTAATCACTCATACTTTCATGATACTTTCAACATAAATCTTTCACAGAACTAATATTGATTTGACCAATTGAAAACTAATAGTAGACAAGTTGGCCAAGTGGTATAAGGCGTTGTGCTAAGACCGCAGTCCGAAAGGGCGTGCGTTTGAATCCCACACTTGTCATTCTTTGATTTACAATCACTCATACTCTCTTTTTTCATGATACTTTCAATATAAATCTTTCACAGAACTAGTATTGATTTGACCAATGAGTATTAATAGTAGACAAGTTGGCCGAGTGGTCTAAGGCGTTGCGTTAAGACCGCATTCCGAAAGGGCGTGGGTTCGAATCCCACACTTGTCATTCTTTGATTTACAATCACTAATCACTCATACTTTCATGATACTTTCAACATAAATCTTTCACAGAACTAATATTGATTTGACCAATTGAAAACTAATAGTAGACAAGTTGGCCAAGTGGTATAAGGCGTTGTGCTAAGACCGCAGTCCATACTTGTCATTCTTTGATTTACAATCACTCATACTCTTCTTTTTCGTGATACTTTTAATATAAATCTTTCACAGAACTAGTATTGATTTGACCAATGAGTATTAATAGTAGACAAGTTGGCCGAGTGGTCTAAGGCGCTGCGTTAAGGCCGCAGTCCGAAAGGGCGTGGGTTCGAATCCCACACTTATTATTCTTTGATTTACAATCACTCATACTCTCTTTTTTCATGATACTTTCAACATAAATCTTTCACGAACATTTGACCAATTGAAAACTAATATAGTAGACAAGTTGGCCAAGTGGTCTAAGGGGCTGCGCTAAGACCGTAGTCCGAAAGGGCGTGCGTTTGAATCCCATACTTGTCATTCTTTGATTTACAATCACTCATACTCTTCTTTTTCGTGATACTTTCAATATAAATCTTTCACAGAACTAGTATTGATTTGACCAATGAGTATTAATAGTAGACAAGTTGGCCGAGTGGTCTAAGGCGCTACGTTAAGGCCGCAGTCCGAAAGGGCGTGGGTTCGAATCCCATACTTGTCATTCTTTGATTTACAATCACTAATCACTCATACTTTCATGATACTTTCAACATAAATCTTTCACAGAACTAATATTGATTTGACCAATTGAAAACTAATAGTAGACAAGTTGGCCAAGTGGTATAAGGCGTTGTGCTAAGACCGCAGTCCGAAAGGGCGTGCGTTTGAATCCCATACTTGTCATTCTTTGATTTACAATCACTCATACTCTTCTTTTTCGTGATACTTTCAATATAAATCTTTCACAGAACTAGTATTGATTTGACCAATGAGTATTAATAGTAGACAAGTTGGCCGAGTGGTCTAAGGCGCTGCGTTAAGGCCGCAGTCCGAAAGGGCGTGGGTTCGAATCCCACACTTGTCATTCTTTGATTTACAATCACTCATACTCTCTTTTTTCATGATACTTTCAACATAATCTTTCACGAACATTTGACCAATTGAAAACTAATATAGTAGACAAGTTGGCCAAGTGGTCTAAGGGGCTGCGCTAAGACCGCAGTCCGAAAGGGTGTGCGTTTGAATCTCATACTTGTCATTCCATACTCTTCTTTTTCGTGATACTTTCAATATAAATCTTTCACAGAACTAGTATTGATTTGACCAATGAGTATTAATAGTAGATAAGTTGGCCGAGTGGTCTAAGGCGCTGCGTTTAGGCCGCAGTCCGAAAGGGCGTGGGTTCGAATCCCACACTTGTCATTCTTTGATTTACAATCACTAATCACTCATACTTTCATGATACTTTCAACATAAATCTTTCACAGAACTAATATTGATTTGACCAATTGAAAACTAATAGTAGACAAGTTGGCCAAGTGGTATAAGGCGTTGTGCTAAGACCGCAGTCCGAAAGGGCGTGCGTTTGAATCCCATACTTGTCATTCTTTGATTTACAATCACTCATACTCTTCTTTTTCGTGATACTTTCAATATAAATCTTTCACAGAACTAGTATTGATTTGACCAATGAGTATTAATAGTAGACAAGTTGGCCGAGTGGTCTAAGGCGCTGCGTTAAGGCCGCAGTCCGAAAGGGCGTGGGTTCGAATCCCACACTTGTCATTCTTTGATTTACAATCACTCATACTCTCTTTTTTCATGATACTTTCAACATAATCTTTCACGAACATTTGACCAATTGAAAACTAATATAGTAGACAAGTTGGCCAAGTGGTCTAAGGGGCTGCGCTAAGACCGCAGTCCGAAAGGGTGTGCGTTTGAATCTCATACTTGTCATTCCATACTCTTCTTTTTCGTGATACTTTCAACATAAATCTTTCACAGAACTAGTATTGATTTGACCAATGAGTATTAATAGTAGATAAGTTGGCCGAGTGGTCTAAGGCGCTGCGTTTAGGCCGCAGTCCGAAAGGGCGTGGGTTCGAATCCCACACTTGTCATTCTTTGATTTACAATCACTCATACTCTCTTTTTTCATGATACTTTCAACATAAATCTTTCACGAACATTTGACCAATTGAAAACTAATATAGTAGACAAGTTAGACCACTTTTTGATTTACAATCACTCATACTCTCTTTTTTCATGATACTTTCAACATAAATCTTTCACGAACATTTGACCAATTGAAAACTAATATAGTAGACAAGTTGGCCAAGTGGTCTAAGGGGCTGCGCTAAGACCGCAGTCCGAAAGGGCGTGCGTTTGAATCCCATACTTGTCATTTTTTGATTTACAATCACTCATACTCTTCTTTTTCGTGATACTTTCAATATAAATCTTTCACGAACATTTGACCAATTGAAAACTAATATAGTAGACAAGTTGGCCAAGTGGTCTAAGGGGCTGCGCTAAGACCGTAGTCCGAAAGGGCGTGCGTTTGAATCCCATACTTGTCATTCTTTGATTTACAATCACTCATACTCTTCTTTTTCGTGATACTTTCAATATAAATCTTTCACAGAACTAGTATTGATTTGACCAATGAGTATTAATAGTAGACAAGTTGGCCGAGTGGTCTAAGGCGCTGCGTTAAGGCCGCAGTCCGAAAGGGCGTGGGTTCGAATCCCACACTTGTCATTCTTTGATTTACAATCACTCATACTCTCTTTTTTCATGATACTTTCAATATAAATCTTTCACAGAACTAGTATTGATTTGACCAATGAGTATTAATAGTAGACAAGTTGGCCGAGTGGTCTAAGGCGCTGCGTTAAGGCCGCAGTCCGAAAGGGCGTGGGTTCGAATCCCACACTTGTCATTCTTTGATTTACAATCACTCATACTCTCTTTTTTCATGATACTTTCAACATAATCTTTCACGAACATTTGACCAATTGAAAACTAATATAGTAGACAAGTTGGCCAAGTGGTCTAAGGGGCTGCGCTAAGACCGCAGTCCGAAAGGGTGTGCGTTTGAATCTCATACTTGTCATTCCATACTCTTCTTTTTCGTGATACTTTCAATATAAATCTTTCACAGAACTAGTATTGATTTGACCAATGAGTATTAATAGTAGATAAGTTGGCCGAGTGGTCTAAGGCGCTGCGTTTAGGCCGCAGTCCGAAAGGGCGTGGGTTCGAATCCCACACTTGTTATTCTTTGATTTACAATCACTCATACTCTCTTTTTTCATGATACTTTCAACATAAATCTTTCACGAACATTTGACCAATTGAAAACTAATATAGTAGACAAGTTAGACCACTTTTTGATTTACAATCACTCATACTCTCTTTTTTCATGATACTTTCAACATAAATCTTTCACGAACATTTGACCAATTGAAAACTAATATAGTAGACAAGTTGGCCAAGTGGTCTAAGGGGCTGCGCTAAGACCGCAGTCCGAAAGGGCGTGCGTTTGAATCCCATACTTGTCATTTTTTGATTTACAATCACTCCTACTCTCTTTTTCGTGATACTTTCAATATAAATCTTTCACGAACATTTGACCAATTGAAAACTAATATAGTAGACAAGTTGGCCAAGTGGTCTAAGGGGCTGCGCTAAGACCGTAGTCCGAAAGGGCGTGCGTTTGAATCGCATACTTGTCATTCTTTGATTTACAATCACTCATACTCTTCTTTTTCGTGATACTTTCAATATAAATCTTTCACAGAACTAGTATTGATTTGACCAATGAGTATTAATAGTAGACAAGTTGGCCGAGTGGTCTAAGGCGCTGCGTTAAGGCCGCAGTCCGAAAGGGCGTGGGTTCGAATCCCACACTTGTCATTCTTTGATTTACAATCACTCATACTCTCTTTTTTCATGATACTTTCAATATAAATCTTTCACAGAACTAGTATTGATTTGACCAATGAGTATTAATAGTAGACAAGTTGGCCGAGTGGTCTAAGGCGCTGCGTTAAGGCCGCAGTCCGAAAGGGCGTGGGTTCGAATCCCACACTTGTCATTCTTTGATTTACAATCACTCATACTCTCTTTTTTCATGATACTTTCAACATAATCTTTCACGAACATTTGACCAATTGAAAACTAATATAGTAGACAAGTTGGCCAAGTGGTCTAAGGGGCTGCGCTAAGACCGCAGTCCGAAAGGGTGTGCGTTTGAATCTCATACTTGTCATTCCATACTCTTCTTTTTCGTGATACTTTCAATATAAATCTTTCACAGAACTAGTATTGATTTGACCAATGAGTATTAATAGTAGATAAGTTGGCCGAGTGGTCTAAGGCGCTGCGTTTAGGCCGCAGTCCGAAAGGGCGTGGGTTCGAATCCCACACTTGTCATTCTTTGATTTACAATCACTCATACTCTCTTTTTTCATGATACTTTCAACATAAATCTTTCACGAACATTTGACCAATTGAAAACTAATATAGTAGACAAGTTAGACCACTTTTTGATTTACAATCACTCATACTCTCTTTTTTCATGATACTTTCAACATAAATCTTTCACGAACATTTGACCAATTGAAAACTAATATAGTAGACAAGTTGGCCAAGTGGTCTAAGGGGCTGCGCTAAGACCGCAGTCCGAAAGGGCGTGCCTTTGAATCCCATACTTGTCATTTTTTGATTTACAATCACTCATACTCTTCTTTTTCGTGATACTTTCAATATAAATCTTTCACGAACATTTGACCAATTGAAAACTAATATAGTAGACAAGTTGGCCAAGTGGTCTAAGGGGCTGCGCTAAGACCGTAGTCCGAAAGGGCGTGCGTTTGAATCGCATACTTGTCATTCTTTGATTTACAATCACTCATACTCTTCTTTTTCGTGATACTTTCAATATAAATCTTTCACAGAACTAGTATTGATTTGACCAATGAGTATTAATAGTAGACAAGTTGGCCGAGTGGTCTAAGG